GGCTTTAAATGGCAAGCTAGCCTTTATAATTCATGCATAATCAATATGTATTTCCTAGAGAAGCCCTGAACAGGAAAAACAACTCTTAAAGACAGCAGTAACTAGAAAAATGTTGCCAAATATTCTATCTTTTGTAGGCTTGTCTTGTGTTTCTGTGACTCCTTGAAAAAGAGTCCTCAAGACAGCTGTCTTTAATACTAACATGTGTTCATAATCTAGCAAAGCTGAGGTAAGACATTGGTAAAGATTCAAAAGGGTGAACTACAAAATAGCCTTAGATGCTACTGAACACCTTAAAAGAACTGACAATTGCTTCTATCTCCGTTAAGTCCCATCTCCCTCAGACCACAGCATAGCCTAGTCATGCACTTTGTGGCTTTGGAGTTATTCTGCCAGTTTTGAGACATTATCAAGGAAGAAAACACAACAAAAAGGGAATTTCCTTCGGAAGAGAGAAGCCAGCCTCTGTAATGTAATCTTATTTATAATGTACTAATGCAAAAAAAAAAAAAAAAGGAGGCAATGGAGGAACTGGGAACTCACAAGTGGTAACAGTAAATGCTACTGACTACACCTACCTGCTCAGTCCTGCAGTCTGGGACTCTGCCAGCAGAGCTACTCATCCCAACCCCAGGCAGCAGCTAGGGTACGCCCATGGTCATACCTTACTTACTTTAGCAGAAACTCCCATGCCTTGGGAATTACAGGACCTGCCCTACTCATTTGCCTCTCAAGCCAATTCCTGCAGCCATTTTTTATGGCACAGACAAGCCTGTACCATCCTGCCTGGGGACCCCGCATGTTCCCCTGGCTTGCGTTGTCTTAACCAGGAGAGGTCACGTGTGCAGCCTGCTGGGACGCACTCAGCACAGAGCACAGCCCCACTGCTTTTATCTGGCCCACACTACTCCATGTGTCCAGTTAATGGTGGCCCTTGGCAGAGTTAAAAATAGCACCTGCCTCATGGGTCAGTGTAGCACACATCCTTCCACTTCACAGTGGGGTTCTGAAAGAGAAGCAGCGTCCAATAGCCTGCTCTGCTCCCTAAGCACGTATAAGGCTGAGGTTAAGAAAGCAAATCGCCATCTTTTCTATCAGTAGATTGTATTTGACTGAATTTAAGTAAGTGAAGTATATCTGAACTTGACTATGAAGAGCCAGAATAGTTCTGTGGATAATACATTAATAATATGAAAGTGAATGTAACACACCTTTGCTTACATACAATGGGCTCCATCTGCTCTTACCTAGGCACCAAAAGCTGTAGCCTCTTTTAAAAGTTCATCTGGGCAAAGGTACAGAAGTACCTTAGCAGAGACTTGGGGTCGTAATGTTTTCTCTCATTGACAACAAGCAACGTAAGCAGGGAAAGCTCTGCCTTAAAAAATCCTTCTGCTATTGTAATCTCGTGTGACAACAGGGAAGTAAATAATCTTGTAAACTCTTCTTCATAAGCACCCCCTTACGAAACCGAGAACAGCCCCAGGCCTGAGGCGACCCCAGCGCGGCCGCCCCTTGCCACAGCCCGGCGGTCCCCGGTCCCCGCCGCCCTCCCTCTCACGCCGCCGGGGGGAGCCAGGGCCATCGCTGCAGGAAGCGCCTTTGTCCCGCTGGGGCCTAAGCCGGCCACCGCCTTCCCCTTCTCCTTCCCCG